CCAGGAGGACGAGCAGGCCAACTTTGCGGTTCGTTACCGTAATCGACGTGTGGAATGATCTCTTGATCGTACGCATTTTCCCTGGATGCTGTCGAGATGAACGATAAAAATACGAGACCTCTAGGCTTGATCAGATGTGGTCGTGACGTTCAAGGCTGCATGGAGCCGCTTCTTGTGGTCACATCCATACGAACTATCTAGCGCTGTCTGTCTCCTCGTCACGTTGTGGCGTTGCGAACCGTGATACGGGGAGTGACGGAGGAAGAGACGGAGGGCTGGGAGCCCTTGACCTTCTTCTGTCAGCAGGGCTAAAAGGACCAGAAGCGGCAGCATCGATCTCGTCCTCGTTCTCTTCCTCATCCTGGATGTCCATCAACTCATCCGGGGGCGCCATTTCCTCTATCATTCCCGGAAGAACAATCACAAGGGACCTTTCAAAGGTCTCGACATCCACGGACTGTGCTCGTGGAGTCCGTATTGGTGTTGAACCGACCGACTCGCTTTTATCCGTGCTGTATTCGGAATGCTCATTCGATAACTCCGGCGTACTCCGGTTACTATCGAACTTGAACGTGTCCTCGTCCGTCAGTTCAGACCCTGGCATCAGCGGGCTCCAATCACAAGGCAATAGTGTATCGAAGAGGTTATCCTCCTCCTCTTCTTCCGTTTTGATCTGTACCAACTCAACTCCAATGGCCGGGGGATCATCTATCGTCGATCTTACAGGTGCACGATCTGGAGATGGCGACCTCGTCGTCCTGCTCCGCTCGCCCCTTCCTGAGTTTGCGGGGCCATCTGAGAAGACGATGCTGCGTGTTCGCAGCTGCTTAACAATAGTGGCATCCATCGTACTGTCAAAGGATGTAGAATGGGCGTTGGATGGCCCCGCAACGCCTTCCTCACTAATACGCTGCCTCTTCCTTGGCCTATTCTCGTCTTCTTCGCCATCTACGTCCTCGACTCGGCGCTTGCCGCCTGCCTGGACAGTACGACCTTGAGTAGTTGCCCTTGCAGTTTTTCTGCGACTCCACCCGTGACCACGTTTTTTACGAGACTTCGGCTTGGGAGGGTTGGGGAAGGAAGTATTCGGAAGGTCTAGACCTTATGTCAGCTCAATGCTGCATTTGTGTATGGTGGTCTAACTCACCTACGCAAGGATCTTGTGAGCTTTTGCTAGAAGATCCTGAGGCCAGTGGCTGGCTATCAATGACCTCAGCTAATTAAATATTTTAATGAGGAATTTTGACGTGGAATGAGGAAGATGACTTACCATTCCTTGTACTTTCCGTTTCGACGACATGCGCAGCTTGCACAGTTTGGGTGTTAGAGGACTGGTCCTCTGTGACGGTGTTAGGTTGAAAAGCACCGGCGCTTTCCGTGCTGGTGCTGAAAGCATTGGTGCGGACGTTGGCGGAGCCTTCAGCCGCATTGTTATAGACGGCAGTGCCCTCTCTGGCCATTGATCGCAGGCGGTTTCCAGAGTGCGCAATACGCGAACGCCTTGAATGCGTTAATGTCGTCTCATTACTGACTGTCGTTTCCGTGGTTGCGGTCCGAGTGGCTGCTAGTTGCTTCCACATTGCGCGAGTGAGTACCATTGTGCTCTATTGTGAAAATGACGCGTCCGGGGGGAGGGGGGGGAGTGTTTCGAGGAACTCTTGTGTGGGGAGTGGGGGAATTGGACTGACTTGGTTGACTTTGAGAGCCACGCTCTTTATATGCTTTCACCATAGGGTCTGAGCCTCATCAAGACACATCAGTACTAATCTAACCATCTTCGTTAACCATTGTCTTCTAGGTCTCATCATCGCCTATTTTTCAAGGGCGGTTATTCCCGAGGCCACGATCGGTGAATATTGAAGGAAATGCAGTGCAATTTTTTGACGTGCATGGTCTTATTATATTTTTCTTTTCTTCTTCTTTGGGAAAGCCTCGTGCTTCCACCGATTCTATGGAGAATGGAGGGGGGATTACGGGTTGATGGGATTGGATTGTCTTTAGCTTGCATGACACTTGTTCTTTCGTAGCCGAATTGTCCAGTCTGAGCTATGCTTCTGGTCAGGAGATACTGTCGTAAGATCCGGTCCTTGAACAATACAATTGTACTTCTCCCTTCTGACCCCTCGAACGTTCTAGGATTATGGTGCCGAGGACTCGTACGGCAACTATTTGTTTTGACTTTATCTATAGATTTTTCTTTAGAAAGTACTCCCGTTTGACATTGAGGAGTCTGTCAGCAGTTTCTTGTGAACAGCGTGGGAGACCCTTGGTGCATTCTCTCGATCCAGATACTCCTCACTTATAATAAAAAAAGGAACAAGGAGCTTATACACGGACTAAGCGCAACGCTTGAGCCTCGCGTTTTGACACTCAATATACAGTGAAACCTCTCATTAAGCATTGCTCTTGGTGGACATAAAAAGTAATGCTTATTAAGAGGTTATGCTTGTTAACAAGTAAAATTCTAGTGTCTACAAGAGTAATGGTAGACCTGAAATGTCATGCTTAATGAGAGGTTATGCTTAACAAGAGTAATGCTTAATGAGAGGTTTTACTGTACTCCTTTTTTTAAATCTTGAAAAAGGAGGAACACCCACTCATTCTCTGTCTTTGACTCATATGCCTCTTTTTCTAGCTGAGCACTTTGCACCAGCAGGCGAGTAGCGATCCACTGGAAGGGGGAACTAGAGTCTGGACAGGAAAGCGGAATCAGTACAGGGAACGGCCATCGCGTTCATTCTATATTTAGAAATTCACTGTTGGTGGCTCGAAAGCGTGAGAAAAATGAACCTTGTACTGTTGACTTATACATTTTAGTACGTTGAATAGTAATGGTTAGTCGCGTGCTTTTCGCAGATGGGCCTAAGTCCCACAGCTCTTTTTTGGTTAGCTCCAACTGCCCACCCTATACTTTCACTTGCATTTTACTAAGTCAAAAATTAAGTACTTTCCCTAATAAAAATACATACTCTCCTCCCTAAACCTAATTGATCCTAATCCTAGCTCTAACACTCAAGCTTATCCCAAACTCTCCTCCTAACTTCTCACTCTGTTTATGAAAGGATTACCATGTATAGTAAAACCTCTCATTACAGTATATGACAAAAGTATTGCACAGGTGAAAAAAAATATATAACTTCCCCAAAACACAATAATATTACACTCTGTAAATTGGTACTTGTAGTCTAGCATTTTATGAATACAACACTCTATAGAGTATTAAATTCCTTTACAAAAATGAGTGAAAGCAGAGAAGAATACAAAAAAGGTCAT